GATGGTTTCTACTTTGCGTTTTAGAGTTTTAACCTGCAACTGTGGAAGCAGTGACGTACTGTTTTCACAGACAGTGGTTTTCAGAAGTGTGCATGCAATGGTTTCCACTACAGAATCATGTCTGTTTTTAATGCAGTGTCACCTGAGGGCCCAAAGTTCACGGCCAGCAAATACTGTTTTTTGGCCTTGTCCCTTGCATACATAGATTTCTCCAGATTCTCTGAATCGTTAACATTATTATGTACGATAGATGATGAAAAGCAAAAGTTCTTTGACATTTTACACTGAGAAACGTTACTTGAATTGTTGCACAACAATTGCATTCTTCAATTGTTGAACCCCTCCCCATCTTTATTTCTGAAACTCTCAGCTTCTCTGGGATGCTTTTAATACCCAATCATGTTACTGACCTGTTGTCAATCAACCACCAGGTGTTTTTTTTTTTTGCATTACACGACTTTACCAGCTTTTTGTTGCCCCTGTCCTAACTTTTTTGGAACATGTTGTTGGCATCAAATTCAAAATGGTCATATATTTTTCAAAAAACAATAAAATTTCTTAGTTTCAACTTTTGATACATTGTCTTTGTACTATTTTCGATGAAACAAAGGGGTTTAAATGATTTGCACATCATTGCATTTTGTTTTTATTTATGTTTTGCGTCCTAACTTTGAGGTTGTAAATTACATCATTATTACAAGATACTAAGTCAATATTTCATGAAAATTTGTCAAATTTTAAGATATTACGTCAGTATATTTTGACATTCGGCCACCAGTAACAGTAAAGATAAAACACAAGTGATTTTTTTCTGTGGGTCATACAGTAACTGTATGTGCATTTCCCCACTGGAACACTGTGTTTGCTTATTTGGCTGACATGCCTGCTTTATAAGAACACGCTGGAATTTTTCAAATAAATCTCTCTGCCTACACCTGTTCTGTACAATAGTTGTGATGTGTTTCCATGTACCCAGAAAAAAAAACACATAAACCCACTGAGTCAAACCAGCATCTGTCCATTTATTAGAGTTTTACAATTCTAAATGGGTTTCAGTTAAAGGGGTTGGCTAACTATAGTAAAATGCATCAAGTATATTGCCTGTGGTAATAGATCCATGTGGCAGACTGAAAAGTGGTCGAGTATTTCTTTAATAAACTTCTAAAGAACAGGTGGCCAGTGTGCAGTTAAGGGTGGCTTTTACACACAGCAATTGCCAGACTTAGCTAGTTTTATTTTTATTTTAAAAAAGCTAAAACCTGGGCAAAAGTGTGAAATATTCATGCTGGATAAAAGACTGAAATGGCATTAAACACTGCTAGGCCCTCTACTTCTACTACAATGTAGCCTCTATGGTTGAAGAGCACATATCATGGAAAACAGTGTCATCAGTTTTTAAATAAAAGAGTCTGATCTGAAGCAAAACATTCAAACCCCTTACAGTCCATATATAACACATTTAGAATCCACTACTTTTGTGATGTCATGAAAACCAAACCATTTTACATATTCAAAATGTGAACATTCTTGGCCAACATATGCTTTGGATGTTGTGTTGATTTTCTATGTGAAAATAAGTGAACACATCTTCTACAGGGTAAAAACTTAATTACTGCATTTTTCTGCTAATTTTAAGGCACAATAACTATACCTTAGTGGGAAAACATGTAGGATAAGGGCCCTTCAACATTAACCAGCGGTTAGCAAAGCTAAAAACAAAGCGGCCAGAAAGCCACAGTGAGCTGATGTTTTCACAACATTTGTTTGTTACTCTCTATAGATGTTACATCACTCTGTGACAGTGTGAAGGAGTACTTCTTCACTCTAGCAACTCTGTAGATCCATTAGCGCTGTTTCACATCTTTAAAGACACCTTCCTCTGCGGGGACGGGGGGCGAGCAGCTGCCTTTCCACCAGCATTTGTCAAACAACACTAGTTGTTAATGTCCCTATACACCGATCAGCCATTACATCAAAACCACCTCCTTGTTTCTACACTCATTGTCCATTTTATCAGCTCCACTTACTATATAGGTGCACTTTGTAGTTCTACAATTACAGACTCTAGTCCATCTGTTTCTCTGCTTACTTTGTTAGCCACTGTTCTTTAACGGTCAGGGCCCCTACAGGACCACCACAGTGCAGGTATTATTTGGGTGGTGGATCATTCTCAGCGCTGCAGTGACACTAATGTGGTGATGGCGGGTAGATCAGACACAGCAGTACTGCTGGAGTTTTTAAACAGTGTGTCCACTCACTGTCCACTCTATTAGACACTCCTGCCTTGTTGGTCCACCTTGTAGATGTAAAGTTAGAGATGATAGCTCATCTGCTGCTGCACAGTTTGTGTTGGTCATCCTCCATCAGTGGTCACAGGTTTTTGGCTGATGGACTATTATTAGTCCAGCAGCGCTGCTGTATCTGATCTACTCGTACCAGCACAACACACACTAACACACCACCACAATATCAGCGTCAATGCAGTGTTGAGAATGATCCACCACCCAAATAATACCTGCCCTGTGGTGGTCCTGGCCTTTGAAGAACAGGGTAAAAGGGGGCTAACAACGTATGCAAAGAAACAGATGGACTACAGTCTGTAACTGTAGAACTACAAAGTGTACATATAAGGTAAGTGGATAAAATGGACAGTGATTGTAGAAACAAGGAGGTGGTTTTAATGTTATGGCTGCTCGGTATATACACCCCTCTCTCAGAGTAGCAACACGAGTCATAAATAGCCAGAAGTCAGGAGCTCAGCTGTTTCAGCATGCTGGCGAAGGTGCAGGTATGTGTACGCTCACTGTGCGTAAAGTGCTCATTTTGGAGAGACCCTTTCTGATGACTAGAGGAGGGTAAAAAGGCTAAAAGCACCAGAAAGTGCATGTACTGCTATTTCATGCTCAAGTAGAAGTGAAAGTAGCAAGCAAATAATAGGAGTGCACTGGACCTTCTTGGTACATCCAGCATCCACCAGCTTTGGTGCTAGTCATCTTTTTTGGGCATTTTGGACAAAAAAATATGATGCTAATGCTCAAAAAAGAGAGATTTCTACAACAGCAAAGCAGTCCAGGTGCTTAAATATAAAGGACTAAAACCGAACTGAGTAAAAAGCAGCTTCTTTTCTTCACAAATATACTCACAATTATTATCTAAAAAACACTCAATAAAGCACAAATCAAAGTGCACCTGACCCTTGTGTGGTGTTGACATTTTTGCTTGTTGTCTGGTGGATCCACTGCATTGTTTTTTTTAAATCAATGCAGCCATAGCAATTTATGTAAATATACCAGATGTTTAAAATATCACCAGTGGCCAGCGTAGAGTTCTCCTTTAGCAGCTGTAGCCAGTCAGCAGCCTGTCCATGTTGTTCACACACACACACACATATACAAACACATACACACACAGACACACACACTAACAGCAGGCCATGTAGGAGGAGAACAGAGTGAAGGGACACAGCACCTCCACACTTTTATTCCCTGTGGGTTCACCTCAGCACCACAGGTGTAATATAAATGTGTAGGGGGTGAACAGAGTGAAGATACTGAAAATGTGTTATTTTATATGTTCTTAACAGAAAATGAGCAAAAGCCAAGGAATCTGAGGTTGAAACAATAAATTGCATCATTTTTTATTTTAGTAAACAGTGAAAATGGGTCCCACAGACCCCAACACCACACAAGGGTTAACTGAGGGAAAGGAGCTCATTACTGTATGTCTATGCTCGTAATTCTGCATTAAAACACTCCATGGTCCAGGACTGCTTTCCAAACGTTATGCTTTTTGATAGTGGACCTGCTGTCATAAGCCTCTGTTTGGCCTTTGGCAAGCTGTACTTAAGATGCAAGCAAGTTACATAAGCTGCACTGTCAACTGCACACTTAAAAAAGATGGTTCCTAAATTGTTCTTTAATAAAGGAAATGATTCTGTTTAGTTCTTTATAGGACCATTTAATGCTTAGATGTTTCTCTGTACAATGAAATGGTTCTTCGGATTGACAGAGGATGTTTTGTATACTGTTCTACATAGAACATTTTTGAAAATGGCTCCATATAATACTTAAAAGGGTTCTGCCACTATTACAAGCTTGACATCATAACAATAGCAGAACGCTTTTTGGTACTATATAGAACTATTTTCTAAAAGGTTCTATGTAGTGCCATATATAACACATTCTCTGTCAGTCTAAGGAACCATTTTACCCTGCAAGAAACCATTAAACATGAAAGGGTTCTATATAGAACTTATGGCTCTAAATAGAACCACTGCCTTTACTAAAGAACCCTTAAGGAACTTTTTAAGTAGGTGTATTATACTGTGCATATGCATATGTTGTATATGGTTCTACATAGAACTTTCTTGAAAATGGCTCTATATAGTACTAGAAAGGGTTCTGCCACTGTTACAAGCTTGACATCATAACTATAGAAGAACCTTTTTGGTGCTATATAGAACCATTTTCAATAGGATTCTATGTAGAACCATCTACAACACATTATCAGTTTATCTGAAGAACTATTTCACCATGCAAAAAAACATTTAGGCATGAAATAGTTCTATATATAACTTGTGGTTCTAAATAGAACTACTGCCTTTACTATCTTTTTTAGGTGGGTATGTTCCGCTGTGCGTATGCATATGCATATGTTGTATATTGGTCTACACAGAACATTTTTAAAAATTGCTCTATATAGTGCTAAAAGGGATTCTGCTATTGTTACAAGTTTGACACAATAAAAGAACCCTTTTTGGTGCTATATAGAACCATGTCCAATTCATTCTCCATCAGTCTGAGGAACCATTTCACCATGCAAAGAACCATTTAAGCATGCAGATGGCTCTACATACAGTTCAGAGTTCTAAACAAAACTATTCCCTTTACTGAAGAACCCTTGAAGACCCATCTTTCTTAAGTGTGCTCATGTCCACTCTCTTTTGGAAACAGGCTCCACAGAGCTGACCAACTTTTTTCCCAAACAGGCGCAAGTCTTACCTTGGCATAGCAGCATGTGATCAGAAGCAAGGGCAGGAGGTAGCCGATGACCAGAATGGTCACTTTGTAGGTTTGCCTGGCCACGCGCTCGCTCCAGATCTCCCAACAGAACGAGCTGTTGGGCGCGTCCGGGTGGTCCGTTACGACCTGGTGCTGCGCTACGGGCACGGCGAAGATGAGCGAGAGCAGCCAGATGAGCCAGACGCCGAGCAGGGCGTTCCTGCGGTTCCTTATGCACGGGGACTTCTTGGAGAGCACCACGGCCACGTAGCGGTCCACGGACATAGCGACGAGCGTGAAGATGCTGACCAGCATGGTCACCGTGACGAAGTAGTGAACGGACTTGCACAAGAAGGCGCCGAAGATCCACTCAGGCAGCGAGTAGATGGTGGCTTGGAATGGCACGCAGAAGAGGAGGAAGGACAGATCTGCGATGCTGAGGTTGAGGATGAAGATGTTGGTGGTGCTCCTCGAGCGCCCTGACTTGATCCTGCCAATGACCACCATGACCAGCGCGTTCCCGACGATGCCCAAGAAGAAGATGCATCCGAATATGACTGGCACGAGCACGACCTCCGGGCCCAGAGGGTCTTCTTTAACGGTGTGGTTGGCGTCCGCTGGCTCGTGGGACCAAAACAGCGTCTCGTTTCTGGACAAGCCCATGATTTCTGGCATCACTTGGAACAAGGAGGCATCAGTCCGGGAGAAAGTGAGAAATGTGGGCAGGGGGGTCTGTGTGGGGAGGCGGGGGGTGGTGAGAGTTATGTGCAGCTCGCTTTTCTCATAATCAGCTCCAGAACTCCACTTCACTTCACTCCACGCCTGGTGTGCGCGCAGAACGCGGGTTCATCTCAGGCAGACTGGGCATCGCGCGCTGCTGCTCCTCGGCGTGGTGAGTCCGTCCGCGCCGCTGTGCTGCTGAAGAGGACTCCGAATGTTGTGCATGCGTAAAAGTGGAGCTGCGAGCGTCTCCAGACCGCGCAGCGAGCCGCGCATCAGCGACGGGAGAGTTTGCTTCCCTCACCATCGACTCAGGCACATCACGTGGAACTCAAGTGCGCTCTGACACGCCAGCGCGACCCTTTAACCGAGTTTCTAACTGCTGAATTCTCCTCAGAAACAACGCTGGAGTTCCGTTGACTTGAACTTTAGACGCTTTCAGACGCCTTCCATCCATAAAACAAGGACCTGCAACCGTCGCTCAATTTATCTTCCTAGGGGACAAGGTACAAACAAAGTGGCTCGGCTGACCAATAGGAGGATATAATTGGTCACGTGTATGGAAAGCGGTCCATATACAACCCATGTGTCAAAAAGGGCCAAATCACATTATTGTTAGTTTTCTTATTATTTTCTTTAGTTGTCTTATTATCCCCGTTTTACCCTGAGATACACTACATCTCCCAGCATGCACTGCAACATAGTTCAAGCAAACAGTTAGTTAAAAAAAACTACCTGAAACAATTTCTTTTTATTTAAAATTATTTTTGAATAAGTATTCAGTGGCTATTTTGTTTGCTGTTGCATTTTTGGCATATTTTGAATAAACCATGGCCCATTCGGGTCATGGCAAAATTTTAAGTAAAAATGAAATAAAAACACAGCTGGCCCACCGATTTGCTGAGATTTTTTAATATGGCCCTTTTAGTGGTTGAGTTTGATACACCTGATATACAACTAAAATAGCACAAAGGCAATTTTTATGTAGGATTAGCCTGAATTGGAGTTTGTTTTTTTTTGTTTTTTTTTGGCTACGTATCACCAGTTCCCACGACCTGTCTTAATGACACCAACCACACACATTACACATTACATCCCTTAAAATAAAACCATAAAAAGCTGGAGCTTCTATGTTTTGAATGATCCTATCTATATCTATCAGATATGGATATAGATGATCACAACTCGGCAGCCCTGCTCTGTGAGACTTTGAGATGTACCGCTTTGTGGCTGAGCTATTATTGTTCCTAGACGCTTCCATTTCACAATAATAGCACTTACAGTTGACCGGGGCAGATCTAGCAGGGCAAATATTTTAGAGGTGGCCTCTTTTAAAGGTGTCATTCTATGAAAGTGCAATGTTCAAAGTCACTGAGCTCATTAGTACGACTCGTTCTACCCGCCAGTGTTCGTCTATGGAGAATGCATGGCTGTGTGCTTGATTTTATACACCTGTTTGGTGGCTGAAGCACTTGAACTCAATAATTAGGAGAGATGTCCACATACTTTTGCCCATATAGTGTATCTCAGAGTTCTCTGAATCTGATGATGGAATTGCAGCATAGATGATGAAATACCTAAAATCTCTGAGAAATGTTGAGGAATGTTGTTCTTAAACTGTTAGATTATTCACTGATGTATTTGGTGGTGAGCCAAATACCATTTTTTCTTTTTTAAATTAAGTAATTTGTTGCAGTAGGTAAACATTATTGAAGTTTCAAAACATACCATTCACTCCCCAGACCAAATGGTCCATCTATGAAAAATAAGCTGCAAAAAACAGCCCATGTTTTTGTGATGTCATCAAAAATTAGCACATGGATCGACCTTCAGCCTACAGCAGTTAAACTCCGCCAGTTCATAATGATTCTATTTCAGCCCAAACTGCTTTTTTAATGACGTTCCATGAAGAGCAGCCAATCAGAACGGAGTTCATTTACATGTATCAGTCTTAAAGGCACAGTAACAAAAAACAGCCTGTTTTATTCTATGGGATAAAGAGAGATTGGAAAATGATCATGTAAGTAAGTATTAATCAGGGCTGCTTTTGGTGCATAAAAGCTCACAAGAGTCAAAAGTTGACCCAAGCGAAAAAGTGGATTTGCAAATTTCTGTTTTTAGTTGCTTTTCACATGCTGTCCCAACCTTTTATTTGAAATTGAGGTTTTAAAATGCATTTTTAAGTGTTTATGGACCATTTCACTTTCCATTTATGTGAACATTACAAAATTATGTATAACTGTTCGCTCTCACTCACATGTTTTTAATATTACACAAGTTCCTCAAATGATCTGTTTTAGGCTCTGCTGTGGATACAGGCTATGATGTCCGCTAATGCCAAGAAGAATGTGAACAGCTATGGATGCTGGAATGGAAACTGAATTTCTCCCGTTCCTCCCCACCACCTGTCAAAACTTTATACCTGAGTGAATTCATTAAATGATAAAAATAATTGCATATTTTGGAGGTTATACAGTTGGGAGCACTTCACCCAGGCAATTCATGGTGATATTGAGGCTGCTCTGAGTCACTTGCCAAGAAATCATTCAAGGCCGCCACTTCTTGTGATATGCTTTGTACTTCTGAAAGATTATTGCAGTTGTTAGTTACAGATAAGCACATTTATTATGTTGAAATACAAAATTCAAATTAGAGGGAAAATGTTTTGTGTCTGACACCATATGATTATATTTACCCCAATCTCAGAGCCAACATAGCTTACTCTCTAACACTGTGGACTAACAATGCAGTTTGAGGGACATACAGGTTATTTGAGAAGATTGATCTTCAGATCTTAGATGTTCATTTAAAATGTTTATTGACAAAAAACAACATTGCAGCAAAAAGTGGCTTATAGAGATATATGTAAGTTTGAACAACCTGGTTAAATTACATCTAAGTTGACACATTTTATTTATTAAACTTAAATATGGCATTTTTCCACAAATATTAGTGCACAATTTCTATTTATTTGCTGAGTTTGACACTTTGGAAACAAAACATTAACTATGTGTTATAATTTTTGCACAGGCCACATTTCATCTTTTATTTTTCCCCAATATGTTCAATTCAGATAATAAACAGTAATTGTGCATTAAAATGTGCAGCAGTGTGTTATCTGTATTTTCACTTTCACATAATTTGAACAGGAGTGCCCAAACTTTTGCATGCAACCATATAATCTCCTTAGAAATTATCACCTATGTATTGGGATGCTCTGGGGCAGCTGCACATGAGCCTAAAGACACCATATCAAAGGCCAAGCACTGGCCAGAGTGCTGCCACCTCACAGCAAGAAGGGCATGGGTTTGATTGCCCAGCCGGGCAACCAGGGTCCTTTCTGTGTGGAGAATGCATGTTCTCCCTCTGGGTGCTCTGACAAATTGGAGTTACTAAATTGCCCCTAGGTTTAAATATGTCTCTGTGTCTGCCCTGTGATTGACTGGTGGCCTGGTGATCCAGGGTGTTTCCTGCCTTCTGTCCAATGAGTGCAGCGATAGGCTCCAGTGACCCAAAAGGAAAAGCAGCTTAGACAATGTGTGTGTGGCTAGAGGGTCAAAAATCCTCCAGCACTGGACTGTGGAGCAGTGGAATTGCATTTTCTGGACTAATGGAGCTCCGTCCAATATCATTGGGAAGAGTTGAAGAGGTGTAGAAGTAATCATCCAACATCAGTATCTGAATGCAATCAAATCCTCACAGCAATGTTCCAGTATATAGTGTAAAGCCATCCCAGAGGAGTAGAAGCTCAAAGGGGAAAAAAACCCTATTGATAATCTTACATTGAGAAATGTAGGATGATCAAGTATCTACAAACTTTTGGACATATAATGTATCCATAGCAACCAGCAGTACATGATCACCCTGTTCTATGTCGTTGACTTTGGTGGCCAGCTTCTTTCAAAGTAATGCCAGGTCAAATGATCAGCTCTTGCAGCACTTGTAATGAAACTCAAACATGAGCAGACAAAAAAATATCATCACAGAAGGCAAGGGTCAACCGCACCTCTGCTTTTCAGAGCATCATTATCACAAGCAAAATGAACATCACTGACACCCAGATGATACTTGGACCTTTAGTACTCACTCAAAGTTTAATAGATATTAGATATGCTTCTGCCTGATTAAGGGTAAATACTATTTCACCCACCTTCCTGCACTTGACTGACATACACCCACTTAGTTAGACCTCATTAGAGCTTTTTGTAACAAAGGCTGCCCTGTGATTCTTTCTGCATTTTTACATGTACGATAACCAGCAAATATTTGGATGTAGTAACTAGGAATAAGACTGTATCTTCAAGTTATTGGACCCTGGGCACAAATGCTTGGGGACTCCCTTTTTTTGGGTGGTCAGTGATTTTTTCAATAACGTCAAAGCAGGTTATCACAAGGCCAATACACCACTACAATGGCAGCATACTAACCACGGCAAACTAACCACTAACCACAGCAAACTTAAAGCCCCAGACCGCGTAGCATTCTAGGCAGAGTATATTGCCACGGTGAGTTTCATTTCTATCTTACTTCTGATGACAGTTAGTTCCCAGATCACTACAGACAAGGATAATCAACTTTTTTCTTTAACTCCACGATATTTTATATTTGGGCGTCTTCCACTCTGTCAAAGTGTCATTTCTTGCTATTACAGATCCCCCAGCCACATCTTTTGAATATCTGGAGCTTTAACTTCAAAGTGCACTCAAAGGAACACTAACTCACTGCTAAAAACCTGAAGGCTCTGCATTACATGCATTAGATGCACAGATAGAAACAAGGGGGGCTTGGGCTCATGTGATTTTGGCAAGAAAGAAGGGGGACTCATTCCCCATGAATGCAGACAACAGAGACCTACTCACACAAGAGAGAATTTCTGCCCATTTCACTGAACAATACAGATTATCCCCCCCCCAAGCATAACACATTAGATTAGCTGATTTTAAGAAAAAAAGCAGTTCGCAGTTGAGCCAGCTGCTTGCTCATTCTGCACAGGCTGCTGTTGTTGCTCCAGGAGACTGGGGAGGGGTGAAGACTTATGGAAACAGGAGCTGTATCACTTTTCCCTTCGTTGACTTGAATAAGCATCCCAGAGCCTGAAAATTAGAGTGTAACATTAAAATTTATCACTAATGAAGCGCATATTTTCTGCAATGAAACATTTTTTGTGTTTTACTTAAAAATATTAGGATTTTATGTATGTACAATTATTCAAAGCTGTGTTTGCTGGTCATAAATAGGCTAGCATTTTTGAATTCTTGCTCATAATTTGCTGAAATTGTTTCTACCAAAACAGTCACTACTGAAACATTTGGTGAAGCTTTGACAGAGTTATGATTGTTAGTGACAAAATGGAATGTTCAATCATTTATTACAACAAGATAAACATAATTAAGGTATAGGGCCACTCAAAGCAAAAGAATTTTAGTCCAAAGTCCAAGTCTGTTAAAAGTCTGAAATAAGTTTTGAGCTCT